TATTTTTCTCTAATTTAGAAATTCCAACCCTGACGGAGAAATTAAAGTTTACTCCTATTGAAAAATTTTAGTGTGGGCACCCACCTATGGAAGTTATCAAAAAGAGTATTGATGATCTTAAAGTTGTAGGCAAGTGAAAAGTGAGTCTCATAGATGGGAGACATGTGTTGATTCAACTAACCGTGGCTAAAGACTACATCAAGTTTTTCTCCAAAAAATATATTAATATTGCAGACAAATCAATGAAGTTACTCACGTGATCTTTATTTTTTAATTTAGACCAAAATCATGAAACTCTCAATGTACCGGTATGGTTTTGATCTACATAGCCTCAAGCTGTATTTTTTTCATCATCAGGTTTTCTACTCTATTGGGATCATTCTTGTGGACTCTATAAAGCTGGATCTACTCACTTTCAATTTAATCAGGCATTATGTAGCCAAAAATACTTGTGGAAAGGGATATTATTTTACCTGATGTTATTGAAGTCTAGTTGGGCACAACTAAAAATGGATATTGGGAACAAATCGTCATGGAACACAGACCTCCATATTATATCCATTGTAAGATGTTTGGGCATAATCTTAATAAATGCTACAAACTTCATCCTAATTTGAAATCTAAGGTTTAAGTGAATAAGGATGGGTATAACCCCACTGCTCTGGACATTTTAGTTCCACCTGGGGAGGATACTACCACACAGGAGGTGTATGTTGCCCCTGTGGACCCCTAACACTGCTGTTATTTTTACTGTGATTGATGTGGTGCTGACACCTTCAAAGTCCATTGAAAACAACAATGAAGAACTATTACCTACAAAGGATAGTGTTGAGACTGATAACCAGGAGAACCTCACAGCTCTCCATCTCCAGGAAGTATCCGGTGTAGAGCCAACTCATACTTCACATATACTAGAACCTATTGTGGGTACTACGGTTGGTAGTCCTTCTGCTATAGTTCTACCATCTCATCAGACTGATTCTTCGGATGAGGAATGACAGGTTTACATTTCCAGGAGGAAGAAGAAAAATGGATATCTACTTGAGCTCAAAAATCTTATGGATGATGCTTTGGTTACTTCGAGTAATGGTACGCACCTTATCAATTTGTTAGCTGGATCCCTTCCGAGAACTAAAGGCAGAGACGGGACTAAATTGGGATGACCCTCACATTTTTCAATCCTAGGTGGTTTTGGACTTTTTTTATTTTTATATGTATTTTTTTTGACTTTTTTGTGTGTGTTGTACCGTGTGGGTTGTGTGCCTATTTTTTAGCTCACTCATACAACATATCTGTATCTTTTCTCTTTAATATATTAGCCCTTGGGCCTTTATATATACCACGCGAAGAAGAAAAAGTCCGCCAGAACAACCACCAAATCCTAGTCCCGTTAGCATTGACTGCGTCGACCTTCGGGCCGAAATAGGAGGCGGGAGAGATGGTCGCAGCTGTTGGGAGAGAGGAAGCTTCGGATGGGAAGCTCTGGGGCATATGTCGGATTCCGTTCTGGAATAATGGCTCAACAGGCGGCGGGAAGTTGACAACGAACTCAGCATCGTCGTTGACACACCATCTGCACGATCTCGACGGTCGTCAGGTCGGTCCGGCGCAGCAGAACTCTGGATCTCTCAAGGCGGTGTCGTGTACGGCTCGATCCCCCCATAAGCTCTACTTCCCATATGAACCTGGCGAGCAAGTTAGAAGTGCAATCAGGATAAAGAACACTAGCAAGTCTGATGTAGCATTCAAGTTTCAAACAACTGCGCAAAAAAGTTGCTTCATGCGTCCTCCCGGAGCAATACTTTCGCCTGGCGAGAGTATTATAACAACAGTTTTCAAGTTTGTGGAACATCCTGAGAACAACGAGAAGTCAATGCTTGATCAGAGAAACAAACTCAAGTTTAAGATAACGAGTTTGAAAGTGGAAGGGCCTATGGAATATGTTCCAGAAATGTTTGAAGAGCATAAGGAACAAATTTTAGTTGAGCAAATTCTGAAGGCTGTATTCTTGGATGTTGGGCGCCCTAATCCACAATTGGAAAAACTAAAGCACCGATTGGCTGAGGCTGATGCGGCTCTTGAGGCATGTAAAAAACCTGCAGAAAACTCGGGTCCACGAATTGTGGGTGTAGGGCTTGTCATTGATGAATGGAAGGAAAGGAGGGAGCGACATCTAGCGCGACAGCAGTTAGAAGGTGCAGCCGATTAGAGGGTGCAGCCGATTCAGTGTAATGGATGATGTGTTCTTCTTTTTACTCATGTTCTTCTATTGTATTATCCTCCCTCAGTTTGTTTGATCTTCTTGACGTATGTTTTAGTGGCTTAATGGAAATAAAAACACTATTGCTGCATAAATCTGAGGTTTTTGGATCATGAATTGGTCACAAGCCTTGCTGA